TGCGCTCTCTCGCTCTCTCCCTCCCTACCGTTAAGTAACTTGTGCATTGTTTTACTTACTTGTTTTTGACATATCTGACCGAACTACAAACTTTCCAGTGATGTCTGTGAGAAAGGGATATTAACTCGACAAGCTCGCACATGTGCGCCGCCTCGTGCTCAACCCACTCTGCGTGCTTTGCTTATCAGCTCGCACACGTCAGCTATACAGGCATTAATACCAAATTTTAACATTATATTCATTGCATACATATACTTCGTAGACATCCTTAATCTCTAATAACCATTCTGCTGTCTGTTGTTGGTGTTTCTTTGTCTGAATATGGCACTTAACACATGCTGTGTGGTATCGGCGTTTGGTATCGGGGCATTTTAACGAGTACGAGTACAGGAGCTCAGTATCGGGCCCGATACCGGGTGCATCCCTACCTTTATTAATGGGTCTCTCTGACCTCTAATGCCTTATTTTTTTATCTTTGTAATCCCTGTTCTCTCATCTGTCTCTTGCCATTGTAACATCCTTCTCTCAAAGACTTAATCATGCTCTGAAGAACATCAAGATGTTTTTGCTTAAGTGCATTAGCAAGCTTAATCATTTTCCTTTTTTTAATCTTTTTTGTTTGATGAATGCAGTGTCTTGTTTTCAAAGAGTCCAAGAGAGCCCACGTCACATTGCTTCAGAAGCCTGCGGTTGGTAAATGATCGGTGGATCACGGTCCCATCCCAGAGAGGCAAAAAATCAATCTCAAAGACGTTTTCTTTCACTGTACCCTGTTGGTGGAATGACCTACCTAACTCCATCTGAACAGCCGAATCCCTCACAATCTTCAAGAAACAACTGAAAACTCATCTCTTCTGTGAGCATCTAACTGCCTCCACTAATAATAATAATAATAATAATAAATAAATACAATTCTATGCCTTCACTTTTTCTGTTCTCTTATTATCCTCCTGTCCTAGCTTTTTACTATTTGGAATGTTGACTGAAACCTATAAGCGGCACTTTTCATGTTTTTTTGCCATCATATGATACAACGCTTGTTGTATTCCTCATCTGTAAGTCACTTTGGATAAAAGCGTCTGCCAAATTAATAGATGTAAATGTAAATGAATGGAAAAACTACACACATGATTCAGACAGAGTAGTACACAATGTAATCTCTCACCCTAGAGTCACATTTATCATTCATCATCATATAACGCAGGGAAAAACAAGCACAAGAAAGTACCATTAAAACATCAATCATTCAGCGGTTGTGATTTACATTGCCAAAGACTTGGCAAAGCACAAAAACTAAAGCTTTCATGTAAACTTCTCAGTGTAAGATTGCAAACCTCCCGTGGATTTCAGAATAATCAAGAGAATAATACAAACGCATAGTTTCTTTTCATCTAAAATGGGGACAAATTTATACATGAAAAGATAAGATGTCTTGAATGTTTCTTAAGTTGCATAACAATGTTTTTCAGTTCTTGCAAAAGGAAGAACTAAAGGGTTATGGGAAGAAACTGGTCATTTTGGCACAGCATGCTGGTTTCCTGTACAGTTTGACAGGATAAAGACTGAAGGGATCTGAGCCACACTGATTATTTCACAAAAAGTAATTAACGCATATGTGTGCATTAAAACTAGCTAGGTGCTGCGTGAGTGATGGCGGTGTCAACTATCTGTAATGGCCTGACCTTGCTCATTCACCTCGCCTTGCAAGACAGATACTGCGGTAGCCTGCTGGGTGACGTGGGGTGATGGAACTGTGCTGTTCTGTGACCCTCTAATATCAGAGAAAGACACATTCACCAGTGTCCTCAGCAAGGGGAAACCCTGACACATTTACAGTACTCGGATCAATGGCGCAACAGAAGGAATCCATGGTCCTGTAAATAGTGATCGATATCTCCGTATCCTACCCATAGGCACAGATCATACTTAATGCAGAACAATGGATTTTTCATAGTCAGGGTGTAAGATTAACACTCACCAAGCAGCAAATGCAAGTAAAAATCAGTTTTGGCAAGTATAAATAACAGCCATTCACACAGAACTTTGAAAGACACGAGACAGGGGCAGAGGAATGGGGTAAAAAAAACAAAGATTTGAGACGTGTTTTTTAAAAGTTGAGCTTATTTTAACTTTTTTTAGAATGCAGTGTCATGGGCAAGATGCTGGGCAAGACAAAAGATGCCAGAAGAGAGCACAATGGTCAAACACGTCCATCTAGCACATTTGCATAGAAAAGCAATGAAAAAGAAGCACAGTGAAATGAAACGCTTAATCGCTTAATAGCCTCTAACTCACTAGTTGGCTGGTAACTTTTTTAATTAATTCTAACAATGCCTGAGAATGCGATATGGTTTAGTGCAATTATCAAAACGCAATGAATTATAAATGATAATTATATGTAATTGTAAAAATATGTAATCTGATGCACTACATGTTTCACTGTGATCTTTGCATGTGAGCTCATGATTACAAACAAACAGTTTGGTTTGTAAATTTGTTTTCAACAAAAGAAAAAGCATTTTCAAAAAATACGTTTCCCTGCAGTTTTCCACCAAAATAAAAGCTATATGGATTACTGTGTGAAAGCAAAGGGGAAAAAAACAGCAACCATAAATATTAGTTTTTTAAATGTATATTTACTCTATATTTTTCATATTATAAATAATATGACTTTTGCTGTTGTTATATGACATAATAGTAGTAGTAATAATAATAATAATAATAAATATTATTATTAATATTATTGTTGTTGTTATGAAATACTTTACTTTTTAAAAGTAGTATAGTGATATTTATTGATTTATTTTTTAGAATTTCATTAAATAATAATAATAATACTAATGATTAGATGAGATTATTTTGCCTGCTTTTTTTAATGTAATGCACATACAGTTTCATGGCCAGTACAATATTTTTATGGCCTGTCACAAGTGACTGGCCATTGGCAGGTGGGGCAAGATGTTTTAGGCCCTGCATACAGTGTACACAAGATAAGATGCCTGACTTGTGTAACCGGGGTCACTGGAAATGTATTACAAGCATGCACACAAAAGCAACGGGGTCTCATAAACTCAGCCAGCTGTCCTGGGTCTGTCAGTAACAGGTCTTTGGTGAACCTGTTTCTTGATTAATTTCCATTATCACCATCTATACTCCCACACCATATTGACTCGGAATACAAAATGATGAAACGTTGTCGCATATAGCAAACAAATGCAAAGCTATCTGATTCCTGACATATCTTGCATAGTGCAATGTTTGCGCTAGCAGTTTTTAATTAGATCATGTAGGCAGCTCAGCGGTGTATGTATAATGCATAATGTATTTGTAGCTGGGGCAGAATTTGACTAAGCACTGTCAAAACTTTACGAAATATCTTTAGTAGTCAGGGCACATTTTGATGCACGACCTGCTGATTCTCATTTTGTTTAACCTGTTTTCCTGCTGTTGTTTTTTCTCATTACAGCCCATGGCATTAGAATCTCACTCAAGTTTAACAGATGAAATGAAAGTTAAGCATTATAACATTTCTGCAACCACTGCATTTGTATTTCACTCACCCAGATCTCTACTCTACAGCTATCACTAGCCCTGCAAGAAAAGCTCAGCATATCTCCACAGAATCCGAACACACGTAAAGTTCTGCACATCCTTCTCCCATCCCTTGCTTTTTTCGTTTTCAAAATATTTTGGCGAATGTGAGCTACCAATAGTCTTAGCCAGAATGCAACAAATTACGCCAATTTTCTCGCACTATTATGTTAGAGTGCAGATTCTGTGTTATCAATGTGAATTTTAAGTCTATAGATCCATGATTGCGGCTTTAGTAAGGCAGGCCCAACACTGATTACTGAACCAAGCCAGGGTTATTTTTATAGAGTTTGATGGAAATGTGTGCCATTCTTCTTACTTTTGGATTACAAAGACCATAACAGTTTATCATTGTGCAATTGTTCTGCCAGGCGTATCTCATGCTAGGCTCAAGATGGTCTGGAAGAGGTCCTGGAATATATGAGATGTATTTATTTGATCCTTATTGGATCAGAACCAGATGAAACAACCCACTGTCTAGACAAATAAGGTCTTTAACTCAGTGACAGATTGGTGTCCAGATTGAAACCAGTGCCATTATCAAGGGGGTCCTATTATTTAACTTTAATCTAACTATAATAACTTTGTTAAGGTGAATTAAGTTAGTGAGTTAGGCTTTGTCAGGGACACTTTGTGGTGTCTTCATACTTCCTTTTGGTTTGAAAGCCAAATGTGACTTTTGTTCAGTTATTTCCTAAGCCTTAAGTAAAAGATAATATGGATGCAAATTCAGGTAAATCCATGCTATTGTCACTGGCTAGTCATGTAGCTAAATTTAGTATGCAAAAAAAATAGATAAGCAACAGTTAGCAGATGTAAATGTTGACCTTCATGGTTTAGTTGTTTGGCACAATGCCATGGAAACTTTGTGTATTAATTTATAATTCATTCAAATTGTTTGAAAAAAAAAACAAGAACAACATGGATTCTTGTAAAATACATAAGTATTCATCTATAATTTCATATATTACATGATGAACATAAATGAATACAAATACATATATTGTCTTTTTATTCATACACTCTAAAAAATATTTTTTAAAAGTTGTAAATAAAACACATTATTGGAAGATGTTTTCCAAGAAAATACTGGTTCAATCTTTCTACTTAAAAATGTGCTACTTGTGGTTTCTTTGCAATTAATTGTCAAATTTATTAACCATTTCCAAGTGAAAATGGTTTCCGTTTGTTTTTTTCAGTGTATGCTTTTCCCCCTTTTTTTAATTAGATATTCAAATTATAACAAAAGAATTAGCTCATAGTGAATTCAGAATTATAGTTCACATGCTTAAATCATTTTAACATAAATTATAATGTTTGTTACATCCACTTAATTATAACAATAACACCCTCAATGGTGGTGAATCAATATTTAAAGCACAGGGGAAGAGTAATCATTTCGTGTAATGTTGATTTAGTGTCTGCACCAAATAGAGACATTGCAGTACTGTGTGCAGAGGTTGTTGTAGAGGACAGGTTATTTTTAGAGCTGCAGGGACACACAGGTCTTCTTTCTGGCAATGTCCATCACTTCCTAAACATGGGTCATGTGGCCCTCCAAAGACAGATTGTCAAAATCCACCCAAGAGGAAAGACCTCAGAAGAATTGTTTCATTGCTGTGCTGACTGATTTCCTCTCTCAGTAGCGCTCTGAAGTCAGACAATGGAAGCATAATGCAACATTGAGAAAAAAAAGGAAAAAAAGAAAGAAACTTAATAACTTGTAGAAACCTTGGAGTTCGGAAGTGATAATATTGCAATAATGGCAGTGATTGAATTGACAGTTTGATACTTTCTTGTTTAGCTTTCAATTCAGTGAACTGGTTTATTTGTTACTTTGTTTTTTCTTTATTTCTTTCTTGACTTGAAAAAAAATATGAACGTTTTTTTTTTAACTACCAAACTATCATTCCAGTCATTTCAGTATTTATTTTTTTAGAAAGATTTGTATTTACAGTGCTTGGAAAAATAATTAAATTATTATCATGACAGTATCAGGCTGCAGTATATGTGCAGTGGCATTCTAACACTCTCAGGAAATATTTCTCACTGTGGATAAAACTTATCTGAGGTTATTTAGTCTATGTATTTATTTTTGTGTTTAATAGCAACTATGTAGATTTTATGACAGTCTAGGTTAGGGTTAAGGTTGTCTGGTGCTCAGAAGTTTGTCTAAATAATTATAGAGTGCACTTTGAAATTAAATTAATCATAAACATGATGTGATCTTTTATTTTATTTATTTATTTTTTCCAGCACATTTTTCCCCAGCAATTTGGACACTCCTCAGTATAAATGGTTATAGATTTTGCATATGATACAAAAAGACTCTGATAACCTGATCTAGAAGGTTAAATTCTATTACCTTTTGTATTTTTAGTGTAGATAAAAATAAAAATAATTTTAAAAAAAAAACCTAATGACAAAAATGTACTCAGTTGACACTAAATGCAAAGCTGAATGAGTCACACTGAAACACGAATTGGATCCGAGTAATCTTAATGAATATAACATAAGGAGCGTTAGTATGCTCTTTTTTCACTTTCCTTTCTCCATTCTGTTTTTAATTTAGTCATTTGCTGGGAAATTAAAATAAATTGTATGATAAGATCAAGTTATAATCTGGGGGGAGTTCTGTTGTCTTTTTTCCTGAGTGATTCCAGACAGAATTATTGCAGAAAGACACCGAGAGTAATTCATTGTTGATCATGATAGCACATTTTCTTGCTAACTCAACCATTCTCATAGCCTGTTCCAGCCTTGTTAGAACTTTATTCTTTCAGTCTACGGTCATTCATACAATGCAGGCATTCAGGTAACAGTTCTGCTGATTGGAGAGTAATTTGGTGCCGAGATCCAATCAGAGGAACCTACTTATCATCTGGCCCATTTTACCCGGACCAGCAGTTGCACTATAACCAATTATCTATGAACCAATTACGAACAAATCTCGAGACACAAATTCCATTCCATAGTTATGTTTCAGAATGAATTTTCTTTTACAAAATGTCTGATCTACTTAAATCTGTCATCATTTGCAAGCATTATCCTTTATAATAAATAAATAAATAAATAAAGGTTTTGTCACACAGTTAAAGTTAAAATTTCTCCTTTAAAATGCTACTCAAAGCAAGCATAACATTTTTTTAATGTCTCTTCATTCACCTGTCTATTTATACTGTATGTGTATTTTGAACATTAAGGCTGTTTAATGAGCACAATAAGCAACCAAAAATCCATCAAGCATTTCAAGTTCTCATATCTCAGCTGTAGCCCTTTGCAGCGACAAGAGCGATCCGAAAATCAGACCCAAGCCCGCAAAACTAAAACAGTCTGGCTAAGGCTGATTCAAAACAGACCCGCTGGACTGAGCTAAGATGATGGTAAACTGGAGAAGATTTGGTTTTATTCAGACAGGATCTTTATCTTTCACATTGACTCAGACTGTCTGGAAAACAGCATGCAGTTACGACAGAAGGCCAAAAAGACAAGGTCAACGACCTACCTCAGAGGCTACTGTTGTTGGTGCGAGAAGTGTGAGCGAGTACAAAGCTCTCTGTGCAGTGCTGACTGCTGGAGGACAAGGAGCGACGGGGAGACCGCTGGAAGCGGCTCCGTCGGTTGAGGTAGCTGCCAGCTGTCCACGTCCTCTGTCTTTTACGGAGGTACTCCTGGTAGTTCTTGGTGAGCAGGGTGTAGAGGAATGGATTGATGCAACTGTTGCTGTAGGTCAGACAGGTGGTCAGATAGTTAATGTTGCGCTTGGCCTTGGTGGAGAGATCCAGCTCGGGCTGAAACTGACCTAGAAGCTGCCAGATCCAGAAAGGCAGGAAGCAGGCCCAGAACAGGAGCACAATAGTGAAGATCAGATACAGGACCTTCTGGTTGGGGAGCTTCTTGGTCTGCTTGAAATTCTCAGTTTGGGAAATCCAGTAGGTTCGTGCCAGGCGTATGTACAGGTACCCGATTATCACCCCTGGAGCTACAATGCTGGTGCCAAAGAGAAAGGAGATGTAGACTTTATATGAGAGAGGGCTCAGGGTGGGTTGGCACATTGGCTTGGAGCTTTCCGTCATCAGCTGGACACTGATGATCATGGGTAAGGTGAGAATCAATGAGGCCGTCCACACCAAGAGGGCGATTGCTTTTCGGTAACTCTTAGAGCGTTTGACTGTATCCAGAGGTTTGAGGACGGCAAAGTAACGTTCTGTGCTCATGACAGTAAGGGTGAAAATGCTTGCATGCATTGTAAGGAAGTCCATGCTGATGAGGATCCGACATCCGGCATCTCCGAAATACCAACCCTTCAGGAAATGTGTGCACACCACAAATGGAATCGTGAGTAAGTAAAGCAGATCAGCTAGTGCCAAGTTGATGATGTAGATGTACATAGAGGCAGCCGAGCGCATGGAGTGGCACATGACCACGAGCGTGTAGATATTTCCAGACACACCCACCAGACACATTAGGGACAGGATGGTGCCAATGGTGAAGGTGGCAGCCATGTCTTCAGTAGAAGCTTCTACTGGAAGCTCAGTGACGTTGGAAACCTTCTCCACCATCGCCACAGTGGTCATCTCTACAGAGGAATTAATGGTCAAAAGTGGATAAAAAGTGGTTGAACAGTAAGGTGTTTCACGTATAGACTTATTTTGCAATTAAGAATGAAATAAAAGATTTCCTGCAGTTCAAATTTTAATCTAAGATACAGGTAAATTCAAAGTTCAATCTTGAATTCAACTGAAATTATGACTATACTATAAAACTATAAATTTAATAATAATAAAAAACTGTATTATAACCTATGGTGCATATTAGGTCATTTTAATATGCCCCTAAATTAAAAATAAGGCTTGTTTGTAAGTTATGAATAAAATAATATATATTTTTAATAAAACAATGTTTTAACCTATGGTACATATAAGGTCAAACATTTTTAATGTGCCTTAAATTCTGCCTAGACAATCAGCACTCCTATCAACGAAAAAATTAAGTTGAGAGGTGGATTAACTTTCCCACTACTTGATGTAACTGCTTTAACATCAGCTGATTTTAATTAACTACTTCTATCAAATGATTAATGCTTAAGCATCAACGGAATATTTAATATTTAAAACTAGTCCCTACACCCTCAAAATAATGAAATGAGCTTATTTACGATAACCGTTAAATCATTTCGGATAAGTGACCTCAAGAGTCAAATACAAGAAGAATAAATAATGCTTTACCTTAATTGGATTCCTCAGATGGCGTAGCTCCAAGCAGACAGAAGTTTAGCATTTATAATGAGTCCAGCTCATGATTTCTCCTAAGAGTGTACTCCTGGATTCCTAGCACGTTGTCAGCAAGAATCCCTTGAATGGCAAAATGAAACAATTCCAGTAGACCAAAAAGAAATTACTTAAGCTGTGTCATGTTTGTTAGGACACACAGATCACGTCAATACAAAAAGCACAAATGAGTCATAAGCAGGTGCTTCAGCCATGTAAGAAAAACTTCAGTTATTCTTCAGCGGAACACTCCCTATATCACAAATCCGAGTGGCAGATAAGAAAAATCCTACAGTTTTCAAAACAACGAAAAAAGTGGTACGAGGGGGAAAAGGGCACAATCCTCTTAGATGGATATGCCCAAGGAGGCGATCACTTTGAGCTACAGCTGGATTTCGAAACCCTCTCCTCCACTGACAGAGTGTGTGCCTGTGAGGCGTAGAAAGAGAGAAAGAGCTACTCACACACTAGAGTGGGAGGGGAGATGAGGGCGAGAGGATAGGAGAGGGAGAGAAGAGTGAGATTGGTTGGGGGGAAATGCATTGTAAGGAGGCACTCTGGAAATGTGTGTGTGCTTGTGATATTTGTGAATGACAAATGAGCTATTACCTGAGCTCATTCATTCATCTAGTGGACAGAAGATTGCCACACATGGGGATTTGTATTACACGTTTGTGTTTCTGTGTCTCCAAATAAAGAGAAATAATAATGAAACACCGAACATAATGTACCATAACAAGCTGCTCTCTCAAAATGAAATCAAGCAAACAGGTTTAAGATAAATATTTTTTTGACAGAGACAGATTTAGCTTTTCCTTCCGTCAAGTTCCTGTTAGCGATGCAATCAAAATTGTCTCCACTTTGGTGTTCCAAGATAAACATTTTGCAGTGTTGATTTCACATAATAAGCACAGACCAAGTCTTGACAGGCAGGAATAATCAGGACTGGCCGAAGTGGGTGTACTGCACTGTGACAAGACCTTTACTTTAATGATGGCATGTTGTTTAACCCAAAGGTCATCCCTTTAAATAATGCCCTGAAAGACTATTCTCAGTGGGTACTTAATACATACCTGGGAGTTTTCGGCACTTTTATGAAAGAAAGCCAGCCTTGTTCAGTTTTTCACAAAGATATGTTACGCTTATAGAGAGGAATCCACATTCAGAACTTGTTTATGACTCTAGTGCTGAAGGATGTTGAGATGGCATGGATTTAGAATAAACTTTATACAGCATACTCCCACATTTTTACTGGATCTGCTGTGTTATGGTGTAATACACATTGTCTCTTTTTTTCAAAGATTGAAGGGTTTTTCTATCAAAAAGCATTTCTCATGGGGAGGGTGAGCAAAAACCATTAATGCATAATGTATCATGAACTAACAAATAATTTTTCACAACATTTAATAATCTAAGTTAATTTAGAAATATACTAGTGTTCATTTTTAATTATTTCTTGTTTGAAATACACATATGTACAATTTACATAAATGAATATTAACCTATATTAATAGATGCTAAAAAGTAAAATTAAAAAATTTTCATTGTTAGGTTAATTACACATTAAAGTAATGATATAACACATATTATGACGCACATTAACATGAAATGTATTATTGAAAATACAAGAAAAAAATGTAGGGTGGGGAATTGATTCTATCCATCAGTTATTTATTGGATGCAGGCATATTTGAATTTGAGCTTGGTCATTCATAAAAAAAGGGGTGGGTTTAAGCTGACAAAATGATTGGAGAAGTCTGGCAAACATCTGTTGAATGATTGTGTTTTCATTAAAAATTATGAGATCATTTATTATTATTTTTTATTATTATTATTTTGCTCCAAATATAACATGTATGTAAAGGGTCATTAAGATTCAGCATACTAACTAACTTAATGATAATAAACTGTAAAGTGTTAATATAACAGGTTTTTTTTTTGGTGGGGGTTGCATATGCATATAGTTTTTGTGGCTATAAAGGAGCTAAAAGCTCTCCACTGCAATTTGCATACAGTGTTAGTATTCATGTGGCAGTTGGTGTGATTTGATGTTGAGTTAACACATGAGCAAAATTAATGCCGGCCTCCTTCATCATGCAATAAGTACATGCAAATGTGCCACAGCACCATTTCAATTAATGGGAGACCGTGAGCCGGAGAGAGGTCAGAGCAAATGCCAGACCACTCAATCAGAAGCACACCAACGGCACCTCATTGGAATCAATGGAACTGGGCTTATAAAAGAACACATTAGGATAAGACTCCATCAATTCAAGAAAAAGGGGAAAACCAACCAAAGGAGTATTCCATATTCAAGTCTCCTGGAGTCAACAATATGATCTGGAATCCTCAGGAATTCATATCTTAGACTTTAATATAGCCAGGTTCATTTGATGGCACACTGCCTCGGTTGGTAAAAGGGCTGGAAATGAGGTTTGGAGAATTTTTTCCCTTTCAAATATAGATGGGCAATGCAAGTTGATAATATGCTCTGGTGCACACGGTAAACACCATCCACAGCTCTAGCATTTTAGACGAACTTGTCATTTGGTCCAGGGAATATTATTTGTAGGTCAACCATTTTGCTCTTGAGCAAATTAGCTGTTCCCGTCTCTGAGGGCCAAAGTAAAGATCATCGTAACCTCATGTCAAAGGCAGCTTTTAGGTCTGTTTTTGCTTGGACTCCAAGACCACTCTCAGATTAATAGATGTCGTGCTGGTCTCCTGTGGCTCCTGTAAAAGTCACATCTGGAGGACATCAGGAAGGGATACATGGGAAAGGTAGGAGGAATACAATATGAATTAGAAAATGACAATTGAGTCATAAACTGAACAACAAGAAATCAATGCAGAGTTGAGTGTTATTGTATGTGTTATTGTAATAACAGTGTACAGACTGACAGTGGCGGCTCGTCAGGGGAGGCAGGGGAGGCACAGCTTCCCCATAATTTTGAGGTGAAAATGGGAGGAGGACGATTTAATGTTAATAAAATTCACAATTCATTTTAGTTCATGTCTCAGAATGTGTATTTTTTGTTTGTAATTTCACAGTTGTAATATCATAACGTGAAAGCGCCGCTTTTCTATCGCGAATGTGCCGAATCTGCTGATGTAATTACAACCGCTAGCTGATAGAGAAGGGTAGGGGGAGGCCGGGGGAGCGCGCAGCTCTCGTGCCTCCGTTGGTATAAAAAATTAGCCAATCACCATCGAGTGTTCACTTTCAGGGCTGAGGAGTGTTGAGAAAAGAACCCTCGCAAGGGAGGCTAGCCTCCCTTCTGATATCAACCAATCATCAAAGAGACGTAAATTACGTGATATTAGTTTGAACGTCTGCC